TCACCAAAGGTCATACAGCAAATGACAAATAATGCCTTGCTAAAGTGTATCGAAAAAAAAAAGAATTTGATGAATATGATATCAGTTTGTTGACAGCAATGAGCGGAAAAGCACAATGTTGAAAAGAGTACATGTGATGTAATGTATTGCAGTGAAGTGCAGCGCAGTGCGGCACAGTGCAGTGGCCAACTAAACCCACCGAATCGATCAGGCTCGATCAGATCTTTTGATCGAATTAAGCTGATTGATTTCGTTACTACTCTGACGACTACTTCCATAATCCATCCAAAGTGCTTGTATAATTGGTCTATATCTGCCACCAGCACTTACCTTCGTCTTTCCTTTCTTCCTAACTGTTGCAGAGATGGAACGTCATTTCACTTCGTTAAAATATTGTTAATCGATTTGTTCATTCATCTCATCGGCCTCTTCCTCCTTTCCCTTTGCCTTCCACTCTTCAGTACAGATGAGGTCAGGTTATGTTACAACCTTACAATTTCTTTTACTGACAGTTTCTTTGCCCTTTGTCCCTACCTTTATTTTTGTTTATTTCCACAGTTGCTCATTCATCCATTTTTTTGTTTGTTTAGCTATCTCGACTTTTCTGTCATTTCATTCTCCACCAGCTAAATTAAATGTCAAACATTTGATTGCTGAGCAATCTGTTTACCGATACGTTGTCATTAATCTCATTGATTTCATATCCCAGTTTTTATTTTCAACTGTCGAATTTTTTATTAATCATGAAGTGGTGATATTGTAATTATCGCGGCTCAATTCTTTCTTTTTCACTGTCTAAATGACATCGTCGATTTTACTAAGATTTCGCAGATCCAACACTGTGCCCTCGAACCAAGATCTAAAATTGACAAATTTGACGCAACAAAGCAAGCAATATGTTATCAACAATTTTAAACGTCATTACTTTCATAGCCTCTTAAACGCTTCGATCGAAGTATCGAGGTAGGATCCTAAACCGGAAAGTCATTCAAGTTAGTAAAATTCCCTCTCTTCTGCTATTATTTTTGGATGTTGAAAAGTCACATTGAAATTTTTTTCAAATAATGAAGAAGTGATAATTGAAATAATAATAGCCATATTTCTAATTTCTCAAATATTACGCTTGTGAATTTTACGCCTGCATGAATGAATTCCATTGTGTGCGTTAAGTTATTTCTTGAAAATAAGTGGTATTGTGTCTCTTGGAGCAGAAGTCAATATAAGAATAGGCATGTAAGAGTAATGCAAAGTTGGAAGGTGTCGGAGAGAATCACGCCATTGGTTATGCCCTTGATTGTTTCCATTTCTTTGAGTTTAATCGCTGTGAGGATTTTCATTGATGCAAACTGTCTGTGCTTTTCTCTTCTTTTTCATCAAATATAACAAAAGGAATGCTTTTAGCCAGAATTGAACCCACAATGATTAGTGATCACGCAGTAAGGCAATATTTCTCGATTTGTCAGTTTAGATATTGTATTAGCATCATCACTTCATCTAAAAGGTTTTTCCCACTTTGAAACCTACGACAAATAACATGAATTACTTGTAGTTAATTAATTGTGCGATGAATGGTGCGTTTCATCTCTCATCGCATTATTATGGATTGGGAGTGTATCGAACGATTTGACAATAAATTCGAAACTTTCCTTTCCATTGATCGTTTCATGGAAAAGGAAAGAAGAAATGCATGAAATTTGCAACCATCGTTGGGTCTCTCCCAACACTCTCCAAAATTGATCGATGATAAAAGGAATGATAAAGAGGAAATTATCAATCAGAATATTATCCTTACTTATCTTTTATCACTCTCATCTTAATCTCTCTATGTCAAATGCATATTGCTGGGTATTCTAGATTTTGACTGGGAAAAAAGCTGGGAAAGTTTAAATTTTTTTTATTTGGAGTTTAGTATGCCTGGAATTCGATGTTTACTTTTTAATATATGAGTGGCGGGAGTGTATTATATTCCCGTCAGCAATGGAGGAAGGAAGTAGCGGAAAAGGGATGAAAAGGGTGGATAAGTTAGTGGCAAATAAGTAGTGAGTGGAAAATTGGGAATAACGAAAGACGAGAGTGCCATCAGGACAGTGCTTTCCGATTCCGAGAAAACTATTTCAATTAGTACAACGCAAGGATGTAGTCAGTATAGATATTGCAATTATGCGTGTAAAAACTATAATATATTGTATGTTAACTGAATTTAATGTGATTAATTAATTAACTAAGCAATATCCAATTAAATATAACTTAATATGAATTATGCGTAACTAAATAAAATAATTTCTCTGAGTAAATCTAATTCTTTTTTTATCTTAATCTAATTGGAAGTCGAGCTGCGAGACTTTCTTGAAGATCCCAGCAGGTGCTCTTATAAAGAGCCCGTGAGCGCTTTTATCAACACTTTCTCGTTGTTTCTATACTTCTTGCGCACATCCAAACAGTATCTTCAGAAGTATGGTATATCTCTTCTGTGTAATTCTATTAATTGTTTCCAAAAATTTTATCCCTTCTCGTAGATGAATTCCTCTTTTATGCCACTTAAATAATCGTTTTTTACGGCCTCCATTTTTTTCATTTTTCAAGAATGGCCATATATTGATACAAGAAGATTACAGGAAGACTGCTGGATGAACAGTTAAGGACGGTCAATCATTGGAGAAAAATCGATAAGCTTATTTAAATTGTAGTAGATCTAATCTTTTCGAAAATTTGACGTTTTCCTTTTATATCTTTGCCTCTCACTTCTGCAAAATCATTTCGGATAAGAAAGATAACACTGTTTCCGATCCCGATCCTGAGAGACAGGGAGACGGAATTAGAAGCAGTTGTTGACTTTCTGCAGGATTTATGGATCAATAGCGCTCTACTGGCAACAACAGTCTCGATATATTCTATTGGCAACTCATTGATTTATGCTTCTCCAACTTCCTGAGAGCAAATTTATTGGCAGTGCTGCCTGAAGCTTATACTTTTGCATCTTACAACATTAAGACAATACTGTTTTAATAATAACGATGCTTGTTTTTAATGTGAAACATTTTGATTCTGACCGGGAATGTAAGAGGGAAGGATTGATCGATCAATATTGCTTTTTCTTCGCGAAGGAAAGGTATATCTCTTTCCGGTTTTTTCTCTCTCATTGTTGTTTATGTTTAATTTATTTCCATTCACATCTATTGCAAAGTGAACCTATCTTGTTGCTATTTGTACGTATCATGTATAATACGTGTGTGAGAGAGGCTATATTATCGTATGTTTGATACGTGAAAGATGATAGGTTAATTTGATAGATAAACTTTGAGGCACCATTGTGTTACTTGATGGATCAGATTATAGAAAACTTGAAATTAACTTCTTTACTACCTCATAACGATCTCTTGAAGTTAAAGTTCGCTTTTTGTCACTATTTGCCTTGTTCCTTGATATGTTCAAAGTGATGTATTTGTGTGTGTGTGTGTGTGTGTGTGTGTGTGTGTGTGTGTGTGTGTGTGTGTGTGTGTGTGTGTACACATGTGTGTATATATGTTGTAGTAAAATTATATTATTTAGGTAGAATTTTAAGTGCAAAGACACTTGCAAAGTGGTATGCTCCTTACTTTTCTTCTTTGTAGACAACTCACATTTTCATTATTATGATACCCCATGCACTTTATCTCACTCCTGCCTTATTTAATGATCTTTTTTGGTCAAACAAATTAACACATTGGCTGTCACGTTTATTAGCGTATCATACGTAAATCATATAATTTGAATGAATCAAATAAAGACGTTAACTGTTACGTTTGCCACATATTACAAGTATCATTTTCGCTCTTTATAAATAATCATATTCCGCTTTTTAGTTCTTCTACTAGTAATTTTTCTTTTTGTCATATATCACATCAATTATAATTGCAATTTGCGCACTGACTGAAACATGAATTCTTTAATTTGAAGAGTTTGTAATTGTTAGTTTAAATAGAAATTACTTCTAAAATTTATTTTATGCATCATATCACTTCTCAAATATCTGCTTATTTGTTATATTACGATACATGAGCAAGACATGCAATCAGGTGTGAGTATGCTTAAGTTTTTAAAATACGCAACAAGAGGGTCACATAATTCAATGATCATTTTAGATTATTTCGGCAATATATGAGACATGCAAGGTTATCAGTAGGGGTGGGTGACAGTTCTTATGATGTTATCATTGGAATTAATAATGTCGTCCGCTGAGAATAGTGAACATTGTCCACAAGATGAGTTCGTATGGTTTGAAGAAGGTAAGAGCAGTGCTATCCCCCCAAGATAAACTTTTTTTGTCCGATTTTTAATCACAGTATTAAAAATGCTCTGTAATAGTCCGAATTTGCTCATAACATTTGTTACATTACGTGCTTACCTGTCAAAAATGCTCACAATGTTGTTGATGTGGAAAACTGGTTCATTTTCCTTGTTTCTCGGTTGGTAATATATAATTTGAACTATTTTCCGGTGCCATATTGAGAAGGTTTCTTTGAGGAAGCCGTTCAGTATAATCACCGATTTGTCGGGCAAGCAGAAAGCGGGAATTTACTGTCCGATTGTATTAATTGTTCCTTGTGATCATTTACTATATAGCGTTTTTTTGATGTTTTTATATCGTGATCTTTGGCAAATTTTCAGGTTTCAATGGAAGATAAAACATTAACGATAGATTGATTTCTATCTTTCTTTTTTCTACTCAACTCATCACATTCCTTAAATGGTAAATTGAATAGAGCGGTTGTTATATCAGTGAAGATGCTCCATAATTGAGAGCTCTCCCGGTATTTTTTCATTATATTGCTCAAACTGACGTGAATATCGGTGATATAACGTGAGGAACGTGAACAATGGACGTGCCTCATGTCTGCTTGCAGTACTAAGAGTGTAATTGCAAAAAGTAAATACTGATTCTGGCTAGCAATAACTGCGTTGTCGCAGAACTGTCAATAAGTGGACGAAGTCAATGCTATCAAAATTGTGACAAGGTAGCTATGAGAGATGCCCATCATCGCCAAGTTAGTAGCAGCAGCTCGAGCTCAGGTTTCGATACTTCAGCTTTCCGCTTCAATGAGGAACCATTCGAGGGATGTTACGAAATTGCAGAAGAACTTGGGAAGTAAATACTTTTCTTTGTTTAATATTTTGTACGTTAAACATGACTTGTTTACTTACTTTATTTTCTTCGTGTTACGGGTAAATAGCATCGGATAGTGGTATACTGTAAGTAGGCCAACTCAGTCACTATGGAATTTCATTGTATCAGAGGATGGGATATTGCCGGAAAGATAAGAGTATTACTAAAGTCGGGTTCATTTCACCAATTAGGAAATCAGCTTGTTGTCCTTCATTGGTGAATAATTTCTTGTAAATCTATTTGTTTAAAGTTGAATTTATTTATTTTGCTCTTCAATCATTGTAGATTATTTTTCTTTTACCGCATTTTCATGATGTCATTTTTAGCGGGCAATTTGCCGTGGTTCGACGAGTAATTCATCGATCATCCGGCGAACAGTTCGCAGCAAAATTTATCAAAAAACGACGCTATGCGACTTCTCGTCGTGGCGTTACACGCTGTAATATCGAACGAGAAATTGACGTATTGCGAACTATCGGTGGATATGAATATACCATCAAATTATTCGAAGTGTACGAAACTCCATCGGATGTGATCCTGGTCCTGGAACTGTAAGTCTTTCGCTTCAGTATAACTCTGACTTACCAATCAGGCAGTTAGGGTCATATTATCACTTGTGAAATTAATATGGTAACATTTCAACGTGATATCATATAATGTGCTGAAAAAGGAATACTCATTCCTACCAGCAATATGTATATTCCTTTTCTAAAAAAATCCGCACATATGAGTTTGGAATTCAAGTTCTGCTGTACATTAATTATTTGATCATTCTTCTGAGGTGCTAAGTTGGCTATCTGTGCATGAAATACTCTTGTCTCTTTTCCGCAAATACTTATCCGCTATTTCTTTCCCTCCGGTATTTCACTTCTCTTTTCCTCCTTTCTTTCAATTTTCTACTTGCGTTTGAGCTTCCGTATCCCTTGGTCTCATATTGATAGATTATATAGCGATGACTTATAAGCCTGTAGTGAATATCCAATACGTCGGCATTTACATCTAATATATTCTGAGAATAGATGACAAACCTTATCACATATCAACGGTGATAAAATTATGGAAATTAGACGCTGTCACGATCTCATCATCGATAGGATTTAGAAATGAGTTCTATTTGAGTAATGAGAAAAAACTATGGGAAGGAGGACCTGTATCATTTTTGTTCGTTTGTAGTATAACAAAAAAGTTTCTGGAGGATTAGATTAGATGAGTAAATTCAGGAAAAGTGAGTGATGTTTTCAATTCCGGAAATGAATGGGAAGGAAAAAATGATTGGATAAGAAATGTTTTTAAGAGTTTCGGGTGGCGAGTTGTTCGACTATGTCTCAGCCAAAGAGTGCCTTGGTGAAACTGAAGCAGCGGCTTTCATCCAACAAATTTTGTTTGCTATCAAGCATCTGCACGACAATCACATCGTTCATCTGGATATCAAGGTATATTTATGTGGCCTTACTGCTATTCTCTCTAAATCGTTCTGAATATCATTCTTTGGGAATTGCAGGAAGTTAAAATTTTATTGAACATTATTCATATCATACTTATAATTTCTTATTATTATTATTATTATTATTGACACATTATACCATCCTGACCAAATAACTTGAATTTCATTCTTTTTGAAATAGCGAGGACTTATTACTCTCTTTTAAGCCAACTTTTTTTTTCACCATATGGATTTGTTTATTTGAAGAATTAAATTTTATTGCAGCCAGAGAATGTAATGCTCAAGAAGAAGGGCGAGTCGAAGATTAAACTTATTGATTTCGGTCTTTCAAGAAGGATTTTGCCGGGAACTGTTGTTAAAGATATGATAGGTACACCTGAATTTGTGGGTAAGTGGAGTAAATTTATTTTTTTTGGAGTAATTTATGGGTTGGTCCTTCCCTTTTTGTCTTTCTTCATCATCTTTTATTGCTTTCTAGAATTGATATTGGAGCATTATAGCAGATGATATATCAAATCTCGAAGATCATTTCAAATTTTATAACACTGATGCACATATCATCACATATCTTAGGATGAGACAAAATGCATCATTTTATTAGTCTTAGTATTCATTGTAGGAAGCATCCTTTTGTCAAATAGAGTTTTCTATCTAAAAATGGCACATCTTCTGTCTTACTGTATTACATCGTTGATTCAATTTTTCCAGCTCCCGAAGTGGTCAATTACGAGCCCTTATCTTCCGCCACCGATATGTGGGCATTAGGCGTTGTCACGTACATATTGTTAGTTTATTATGGAAATTTCTTCAATAAGAAAATATTTGCATCTCATTGTCTATTTAGATCTTGCTGATGAAGAAAGATTGTTATTGACCGGAATGTTGCTGATTAAGTCTGTTATGGATCTCGGATTACACTCTTTCCATCTTTGCCTTTAAAACTTGCTATAATTGGATGTCATTTATTATGTATAAACAATGCAACTTTATCACTTTTCCAGGTGCTGACAGTCTTTTCACAATGTTTATTTCAGGTTAAGTGGTGGTTCACCCTTCCTCGGTGAAACACGCGATGAAACGTTTGTAAATATATCAGCTGTAAATTATCACTTCAGCGAGCGTTATTTTGAACATATTTCACCGTGCGCAAAGGATTTTATTAGTCAACTTTTCGTTCGGGATCAACGTAAGCGAGCTACGGTTAACGAGTGTCTCAGACATCCTTGGATTCGAGGCGTATGTTTTTTATCGTTCTTTAAAGATTCTTCTAATTTTACCAAGATTTTGCATCCTGTACTTTCGAAAAAAAACTAAATTTCTGGAAAACTTTGAATTTTTGAGAAAGTCGTTTAATGATTTATAAGATGATAATATCAAAAATTGTTTCATTTTATTTTTGAGAGCTTTAGTTTTCCACGGATTGGATATCTGTCTTATTTTGATCGATCTAAGAATATAAAAAAGTTCTGATTAGCTCATGCGGAATTTCGTTTTTCTTTGAGAAATTGTCAATTGATTATTTCTTATTTCACTTAGAAGTGTTACATTTCCGCTATCTTTTACTCAATAAACACACGTCCATAGAAGTATGCATTTTAAAATTCAACTTGTAAGAATTGAATTTTTGTTGAATTAAGAATATATGTATGCTCAATTTTTGTTCTTTTTTGTATCCAAACAGTCAATCATCAAGGAAGAATAGAAAATGGAGGTTGAGCAAATGAAAAAGAAATGGTTATATATTTCGTATCGTCACTAAAAGCCTTCTTTTAAACTTCCTCTTCCGATGGAGTTAAACTAAAAATAAAGTAAAAGTAAAAAGGGATGTTAAGATTGAAATTAAGTTGACTTTACAAAGTGCAAACTTCATTCATCATTTTCTGGAAATGTGGAATATGAAATTTCACACAGTGATGGTAATCAAAACGTCTGCTCTCATTCCTATTGCCAACTGTTCTGTGTTGATAAAATGAGTTTGTTACTGTTTACCATAAATCTGTGAATAACGCAGACTTCTTTATTAAAGTTATCCTCTTTCTGCACATCATCATTTTTTGCAGCCCGATGGACTGGCTAATGATGTTCGCCAACACTCGATGATTTCTATGGCGCAAATACGCTCTTTCAAAATACGCTTAAGATGGAGGGTATTTATTCAAATTAATTTAAATTTTCAACTTTAATAAAATGATATAATCCAATCTGGTTGCTTCTTCATTTTGCGGAAATGACTATATCTATTTCAATTTTTTATGGACTTTTCTGATATACGACAAATTCTAACTTGAATTTTTTCCATTCATATAAAGATTTTCTTTGCCTAATATTGCTGCTTCCTATTTTCTCTAGAGAACTTGAATTCTTAATCTTTGAAATTTGTAGCATAATATACTGAGACATGAAGTAATCTCGACTCATCTCACTTTCTTTAGGATGGAATTATAAATTGAAGAAGTTTGAGTGAACGTGAATAAGCTAGCGAAATATAGGGAATGATATTAGAACTGGGATTCTTGAATTATTGTTTATTCTATGATGCTTTGTGGTCGGACTCCTTTGTCTTAAAACCGTAATAGTCATCGTTCTTGTTTTAATTTTTGATTTGAAACAAAATATCATGAAAGAGTTGTGTTTCAGAGGATTGTGGACATCGTAATAGCTTGCAATAAAATGACCGCAGACGCACGATCCGCTATGCAAAAGGCTTTGGAAGCTGGTCGATCGGTCAGTTCTCGATTCGATCCCGTAAGTTTCCCTTTAACCATTTGTTTGATGAAAAAATTCAAGGCGAAGAATTTTTGCTAATGAAGGAGAGGAATGTGATCATTTAGGTATTGTCCACCTTGAACTAGGTCATTTCTATAGGGACTGTCTGGTAACTGTACACTATGTGCCTAAATTGTTTTTGTCTTTATAATCTTGAAATGAAAAATGACATGAAGAAAAAGTGAAATAAGGTTTAGTGTTGGCAGTAGCCATGATAATTGACAGTACATGAAAATAGTTTGTAGGATCGGCCATCCTACGTTGATCTTACTTTCCTCTCTTTTATGCCTTAATTCAAATAAGAAAGAACTCATTTGAGAAATATGCATTTATATAGTTAAGTTCGACATACTGAAATGAAAAATTCTAAAATGAGAGGAAGAGTGGTCTCGAATCAGCCTGCTGGGATGATAAGGAAGATCCATAACCCAACTGGCACAGTTAGCACGCTGCTCGTTAACCTTTTTATTCTCATTACTCTTTTTTTCCCACATTTTTATGATTGAGTTGCCATATTATGTGTGTCAGCTTCTGAATGATGTAACTTACTTTCTGATTACTTTTGATAAACAAACATAAAAAACAGGAAGAACTAATTGTCTCAGCAATGCTGATTACATGCGAGGAAGGTAATTTGGCAGGACTTGATCAATTGGCTGTATTGCATCGGATCAACTTGAATATCGCCAATCGAGTAAGGTTTATAAAGTTTGAAACGATATTTTCATCAGCATTCACTTCCTGTCGTTATGAATGTGCTAGCAAGGTTTGCAGTATTTTGGTTTACCAAGTTATGAATTTCGGTTTTCTCTGCGACAATAACTTTTAGGTAGTTAATTACTTCTTCCTCTGTTCATATTACTAAAGTTTAATATAGGTCAATTAAGATCAGTACGTTTTTGTTGGGAGTGCTTCAGATGGGTGAAACAGCGATGCACGTAGCTGCAGGTGCAGGACAATTTGATGTCGTGCATTATTTGCATATGAAAGGTGCTGCACTGGATGCATCGGATCGGCGAGGTGATACGCCCTTGTTTTGGGCTGCACGAAATGGTCATACAAATATCCTGGGCTATATCACCAACGAGGAAAATGTGGACATTAATGCTGTTAATAAAGTTTGTTTTGTTGTTTTGTCACATTGCTATATATTTACATTTTAATTTAACTTATGAATAGCAACTGTTCGTTAATTCCACTTGATCATCCCTGCACTACATTATCGCTGATCGAACTTCCGCCATTGATCTGTTGGGCTGTTGGGCTAGAAAAAACTTTTCGATTCTTTAAAATATTTTAAGCATGTGTCGCGTTATTTAACATTCTTCAATCATTTACTATAGGTAGCGAACAGATGTTCAAGTGATCCCTGTTAAAGGTTTTCCTACAAATTATTGTCAAACGAAAATAGTCATTTAAACTGATGTCTTCTCGTGAGGCATTCTAATAAGAGTAATAACAATGATAAGTTGGAGAGATGAAATTGATCTGAATTGTGAAATATTACAGAATAGAGAAAGTGTACTTCACGTGGCCACTCGTTATGCACAGTTTGAATCAGCGTTGTTGTTAGTGGAACGTGGAGCTAACTCGTCGCTGCAGGACGCGGTATGACTGAATGATCCTTCAAATTGTTTTTGTAAGAAAAGAATACAGTTATTGATGTTTTGCTTCACTTTTCTTGACATTGCAGCATAACGAGACAGCGCTGCACATTGCAAGTTGGCACGGTTATACAGCACTTCTCGGGGTGTTGTGCAGATTCAATCCACCGCTTCATCTCAGAAATCAGGTCCGTTTCGGATGATAATCAGAAAATAATTTTTTCACAAGTACCCATTGAGCCAGTGAACAATTAGATGAGAGGAATTTCGACGAGAATTGGATTTCATCAATTCTCGTTGAAGTTCTGACTATCGGATAAAATAAAAATACCCCATTATTTCTTCTTGATTTTATTCTTGTAGATGCGGATTGAGAGGGAGAGAGAAAGAAATAGAAAGATATGTGTAGGGCCTCTCAAAAAGGCCTTCCACTCATCCTTTTTCTCCTGAAAATTGATAAATTGTCTTGAATAAATCCTTATAATTCTGACATTATATTTATGGTTGGACTATTAATATAGTTTATTTAATTGGCACCTTTTCATGAATATGCTATCTGCACTATTTTCTTGCTATTCATCGGATTTGGGGTGGATTGGAAGGAGTATGTTCGATGCTTCTTTCTTAATTCATTTTCGCTAGTTCTTTGGCATTAATTTAGTTTTGATGTGTGTGGTGTGTTTGTGTGTGTGTGTGTGTGTGTGTGTGTGTGTTGCTAATTATTATTATGATTGTACCTATTTAAATTTTGTTGTTTGACTAATCAAGTATGGAAATTTCAAAGGTGATAATATTGCTATCAATTCAGGAAACGTTCTTTTTATTCGTTCGGAATAGTTGGATAAACATTTTTTGAGGGTTGAGAATAATTTGTGAAAAAAAGACTGTTTGTGAAACGATCAAGCCTGAAATGTTACGGATTTAAGAGGAAGGGAGAATGGATTTCAGATCAAAATTTGAAGCTGTGGGATTTTAGTATTCTTCAATAAATTCCTTGCTCGTGACTTCTCAGAGTAAATGAATATTGTGAATGAAAATCTGTTGAATTCGTGAGGAGAATGGAGAAATGAATGAGTTTCAGTTTTTTGTTCCATGATGAATTACTTCATAGTTTTGTTTATTTGAAGACGCTCAGTTTCGGAGGTTGGATGAGATGAAGATGAATGAAAGGAAAAGAGAAAGGAGAGTAGACTGGATCCCGCGGGACAGTTTTATGAAAAAACTTCTAGGAATAAGAAGATTTCGAGTTTTTTGATACTTTTATTGAGGCGTACTCATTGGAGACAGACGTTTCTTTCGATTATTGTTTTATTGTTGGGTGAATGAAGGCTTTGTTTCAAAATTTTCATCTCCGCTTTTCTTTTGTTTTTCATTTTTGCCTCTTTTGTCTATTTTTGGAAGAAGTTATAATTTTTTACGGAGGAGAAGGGATGGGTGTATGTTATAGCGCAATGGAGTTTCGAACTTCGATTATTATTCTCCTCTTCCTAGTGACAACAGTGCGTTTTTTACCTCGATTAGGGTACAATTTTAGAGTAACTTTTTCAACGGTATGGATTTCCTAAATTCCATTTCACTTTGTTTCTAGTAATAGTAGCTATGGCAACTGAGTGAGATGATATGCCGAGTTGTGGCGGTTTATGGCTTCTTTGCTCGAGAAGGCTCTTTCCTATTTCTCTGATAGACATCGATGGCTAATAGGCCTTTTTCTACTTCTAAGGAAGGGTACTAGCCTTCGTAGAGAACCAATTACCTTCGGTTTATGAATGTGCACATTGAATTAATATCGAGATGGCTCTTTTTATTCATACGCAAAATTTGTTATTTATGCAATCATAAAAATTGTTCACTGTTCTCTTTTCTCCTTCATCTGCCTGTTCATCCCTTTCTTTTCATGGGAGAGTTTCCGGATGGGATAAATAGATAGATAGAGATATTCATCCGAGCAACAGCAACAGTTACCGGTTTCAACAACATTTATCTTCGTAAATCTGCGAGAGATGATATTCACAACAGTTTACTTTCAATTAATTAACATCAGTGATAAAAGTGTGTACCAGATATTTCTTCTAATTTATAGTAGTTCGATATGACCGGATGTGTTTGATTTGATGAGAATAAAAATATGAAATAATTGTCCTCTCTCTGGGTACAGTCATTTACTCTGCTGTGACAAATCGGTTGTTTCATTTTCATATGCTGCTCTCATGTCTATCCGTTAGAAACACTCCATTTGTCTCTTCATCCTTTCATGTTTTTTCTACCGGACTGCTCCCGGTTTCATTTTCTAAATGTCGACGTTTTATCCACCTTCATCCATTGGCTTATCATTTGCGACTTTCTTTGCTTGACTATCTCTCTCTCTCTCCCTCATCGATGACATATAGCAAATTCCTGGTGACAGTGTTGAATGTGTTTTTGTTGTATGTCCAGCGGAAAGAGTGCAATATTCGTTTCACTTCCTCATCATGCATTCATCCGTTCTATCCATTAAATATTTGCCTCACAGCCCAGCGTTCTGTCCTTTGAACTATTTTCTCTGCGCGCTTAATTAAAATAAAAATTGCTAGGGTTTATTTGAATGTGTTGTCCAACCGGATGTTGCCACAATAATTACTGCCCGCGGTAAATCATCGCGCTGCATTTCGATAGAAAATGAGTTTGGTATTTTGGATGTTGATAGTTGTCAAAATAAAGTAGAAGGGATAGACGGATGGATGGCAAAGAAACCGATTTTACCAGCATAGTTGGTGGAAATCTCTATGTGACAGTAATTTCGTCATTATTCGAATCACTACCTTAGGCTTTACTATGGGTATGACAATTAAAACTACAACATTAAACTGTACGAATGCATTCTTCACGGTTTCATTATTTTTCGGCATCTATAGCTATCGGTCCGATACGAAAATCTCATCCGACAAGATATTTTCATGATCCAATCAACCGCTTTGCTTTTGTGGCGCAGTTGCATTGATAAGAAATGGAATGTGTAGTATTAGGACTATGGCTGGAGATAATTTCACGAATTCCGTCTTATCCATTCCATTTAGCTGCAGTTCATGCAGATGTTCGACTATCAGTGATAACGCTGATTCCACCGTCACAAATGCATCTCCTTGTTGCTCAGGCTTGGTATATCAGCTACACAACTCATCATCTAAGAATCGGGCGATATCTCGAGTACTATTGGCTCGGGATCAATGCCGATCAATGCTATACTACCAGCTCTGTGTTCGCGTCTAACACCCGTTACAACGAAATTTATTTCACTCATCACTGATATGGACCAAGACTGGGATCGATATTGTGGTTCTACAACGGTTAGTCTTTAACGGACTATTATTTAACTTAATTCGTCTTTATCATGTAAATCTGAGAACTGCCAGTGAAAAGTGATAAAAGGAATTATTTTTCCAATTATTCTAATAACACTTTGAATTTTATTTGGCAAGGCATAGTGCAGTGAGCTTTTAATACTGTACTTTTTGTAAACCTTCATGATTGAGGTTTCTTTGAAAATATTGCAAATCAATTGTAAGTCACTTAGCTGCCTTTTTCATCTGGTTGTGAAAGGATGTAATTTCTTTCCTTTCGTTGTCCTCAATTGCCTCTTCTTTCATTTAACCTTGACCCAGTACAAACAAGATTGAAGGAAACATGTTGTATGGCAGTTTACTTTTTGCGCTATTGACATAAGTTTATTTATATGATTACAATTAGCGTGGAGAGAAGTAATTTAAGTTGTTCATATGAGAATCACCACTTCACATTAGATAGTTGACGTATTAAGGACGGAATAAATAGTCGTTTAGATATAACATATTTCACAGACTCTAATGCGTTCTCTGAATGACGAAAGTATACAGTGATAATGATTCTTGACAGTCTTCGATATGCTTTTATATCTTTTTTCTTTTTACATCACTTTATTCTCCAGAGAGTTATTTTTCTCGATGAATTTCTACTTTTTATCTTTTCTTCCTTCTTTTGATGAAAGTTTGTGGTTGCACGACAGGGAATAAATAGTTTGGGGCTGCGAGATACTCCTTAGCCGAGAATTATTGTAATCAATATGTAGATCTCTGCACCACATACAATTTTATTCCTTTATTTATTTCATCAAATGTCTCTGCGCAGCGCACATTTGTTGTCTTTGGATTGTGATGTTGATGGGAAGTAAGATGAGATTTACTGATGAAAATTCACCAAGTGAGCTTCAATTTCCAGAAGCTTCATCAAATACCGCATGACTGATGTCTCAACTACCTCAGTAGTTTCGTTCATTTTTGTGTTGTTGATTTTCGAAATTCCTTCCTGTTCCAAGACAAGGGTTTTTAATTTAACCCATTTCATTTGGAATAAATGTGAGAGAAATATCCGATGCAATATAAAAGACGAAATTCAGCTTTGAGTAGTTTCATATTTGTCTAGAATGGGCCAATCTTTGTTGCGTCGCACCTCTCTTTCAGTGTTCTAGGTCTAAGCAAGCCGATCGCATGATGATTTTAGTGATAGTGAAAGTGGTATGAGAGCAGAATTTGAAGGCTATATTCGAGAAAAAGAAAGTAACAGATGTTGACCAACCAAATTACAAGCAATCCCTTATGACTCATTCGGATGGGAGGAGCATTCGGATGCATCTCACACTTACCTCTAATCACCTTCTTACATTATTTATTACACTTTTGATAGTAAAGGTGAGAACAATTGAAAATAATGTTCCATTAAAAAATAAAAGATATATGGGACGTTTTAGGCATTTTCATATGGAAAAGCTTTTATTTAAAATTTAGAAACCAAAGAACTTCAGAGGTACTTTTTGTATGTATGTATGTGTGTGTGTGTGTGTGTGTGTGTGTGTGTGTGTGTTTCGATGTTCTGTTGCATGCACACTTCGCTGGTTGAGGACTAAAAATAAGGCCTTGCGGATGGCTTTATACTTACTATTGCTTGATTTCTCAGTATAGGTGAAACTGCAATTTTTTTAATGTCCATTGTACCTTACACATATATTATATGTGTATGTGCATGTGTGTGCGTGTGCATGTGTATGTATGCGTCCTTGCATTACCCTTTCTCTTCTTCATACTCAGGTAACCTTGTCAGTTCTAAAAGTGAGTAGAAAGAAGTGTTTCTCAAAGGTAGAGAGAGTCAAAATCTATTTTAACTGCTTGCTTCACTTTCTTCAAAGAATGAATCC